CGACGGCCATAGCTGGCCTCATCATAGTGTGATGCAAGTCATGGTGTCGCGCATTGGCGGATCTACTAGAGTAGAGTACCGTATACGACAGATACCTACATGCGCCACCACCACGACAACGACCACCACCACCATCCCCACCATCCCCGCCTCCACCACCACCTGAACACTGGTCTGCTGGCACTACATACCGTCTTACTCAACTGCCGCCACACCATCCAACTCTAATTCCTTCTCGAAGACCTCAAGGAACTTCCAGAGGCTTCCTCCAGCTGTATTCCGCAAGAAAAAAGCAACTGTGCATCGCGAGGTGAGCATATAGCAGCAGAATATCTACCTATCTACAGCTCGCTGATTCCTGCTGGTGAGACCGCTCCGATGACCGCGCACATAGGTACCTTAGGTACATGTTTCTAACAGTAGAGAAGGACATATCTCCGGTCAAATGGATGCTTGTTTATCGGCCCGCTCAATCACTCTCCTAGACGACTCACCGACCGATAGACAGACAGAAACGCATTCGATCGGGCAATTGGAATGAAGGATTTGTCGGCCGTTAACTGGGCTCTGACTGACACTTGACTGGCGGACTCGACCGTCCCCCCGCCTTTGCATGCGGGACAGCTCTCGACCCGCCTGTTCGACCAATGGATACGTATCAATCTCCGGTAGAAGTAACTCCAGCACGACCGCCAGCCTCTTCCACCCCCCCCCATCACGAATCGATCGCACCGATAAATATTTGCGAATCACATCCGCAGGTCGTGTCTCGCCCCCAGACGTCATGTCATCGCTCTAACTCCAGAGCACCTGCTCCACCCTACCTAGTATCTCACCCATTTTTTCTTTCTTTTTTTTGTTGGTTAATCACCTAGCATCTTACCCCTCCTTCAATGCAGGCGGCTATACTCTAGATGTATGCGAGTGATCGTAAATGAACGGACTACCACCCGCCGGCCGCGGCCGGCCCGCAGAGTGAGTATTTTTTCTTCTCCATCTTCCCCTCACTTCAAAATTCCCTCCCCCTCCCCGCCGGTGCCCCTCCCCGCCGATGCCCCTCCCCGCCCCCTCCCTCCACCATGGAGGATTTTTTCCCCCTCCGTTTCCCATAATGTTGATTTCACATTGCGCGCGCGAGCGGAGTAAGATGTCACCTTGCAGTGCAGCCAGCTAACTAACCCGCGTGCGCAGTCCGGATATAACCATGCAACAGGGAAGGCAAGTCAGTGGCCAGAGCGCTGGCTATTTTTCTTTTCGCATTCCAGATTCCGGGCCATATGTATGTAGGCATGGAGAAAAGCAACCGGAATGAGTGTGTTTGCACGTGAGTCAAGAACATCTTGCTCGAAGGAAACAAGCACCCCAGCCCTCCGTCTCCCTCATACTCCACTTCGTCATGTGAAACCACCAACGGCTCGACTACCGTCCGACATTCAGCCTGAGTGTAGTCGGTGGGGGCTGGCTTGTTTGTGTATTGTGGGGCCTGGGATCCCCCGTCTCTTGCGCCGAGGCCGCGCTTACAGCTTACTCTCCCCTCGCTTGCGTGCTTGGGAGTTACTACGAAGAGTAGCTACAGCCTGTGAGGCGAACCAACCGTCCGTCGTTTCGATGTGAGGTTCGCCTGCGAATATTGCCTGAATGCTCGCCTCCGTGGCTCGCTCGGTGGAATCCTTCGAGAAACCACGAGCGAGCGCTCGGTACAATCGTGTCCACCCGGCCAGGAAGCCAGCCCTATTTGCCTACGGCGCTCTACTACACCGTACCTATGTTACATGTATGTACAGGCTGTAGGAATAACGGGCGGGAGCAATTTCGCATGGAATCTGTGTAGGCATTCGAGCTCTCAAGCGGCCCGGCCGGATGTTTCACGGCCGACGGCCGACGGGAGGAGATCGCTGAACCTATTTGTTGTCGGAGACGTCGGTGAGACATACCGATGCGGACGTAGGCTCGAAACAAAATGGCTGCCGCCTCCTCCGCCTCCTCTCCGATCTGTCCCCGGCCTGTGGCGCGCCCACCGGAACACTGCCATGATTCATCATCACCGATCGTCTGGCTGGCTGGCTGGCTCGCGGGCTGTGATTGCAAGTTGCAACTGATGTTGCAGCGCACAGAGCTCATTCCGAGGCGGCAGGGCTGCGGTGAGGATTTGTGTGTACAAACAACACAGCCAACATGGCCAACACCCGTCCCTCCCCGTCTATCTGCGCAGTCATGGACGGCAATCGTGAGTGACCTCCATCTGTATGTATGTAGAGCAAATCTCCTGCCCCCTTCCCCACAGACCGCGACGGGCCGAGGATCCCTTCACACACGCGTACGCGTAGAGACCACTCGAAACAGGCTGATATGTTCCATACCTCCCCTGTTGCGCCGCGCTTACTATGGAGTACATAGGTACATACCAGTATTTATGTACTCCAGCGTCGTGTGCACGCTTTCCCTTCCCAGCAATTCTAGGTAGTCAGGCAGGCAGGCAGTGGTAGGTAGAATCTTCATGTGCCGCGAAAGAAATTTCGCCTCACCTCCCAGGCATGTATGTAGGTGTGTACATAGAGTATTGTACAGCAACCGGGCTGCGAGGGATGTTTCAACTTTCACGGCGGACGGGAGCATTCTCCACACATGTATGTACCTGGCAGTCTACTCATACCTACCGTACCTCCACAATCCGCCGAGAAGAAAATGAAGAAAAACCAGACCCACCCACCCACCCACCCACCTACCGGACAGGACAGGACAGGATAGCATTAAAAGCCGCCACATATACCATATCGTAAGCCCAATTCCAAGCCCAATTCCAAGCCCAAGTTCATGCACAGTACACGAGCAGGAACCCTCCCAAGCTCCCGCCCCCATTCGCGCTTAAGAATTCATTCTAGAAGCCCTCAGCATCAGCATCGGCAAGCATGAGCGTGAAGCTTGAGTCTGAGCGCATTCCGGCCGCGCCGCCGCCCCCACAGCTTCGGGTAGCTCTCCGACTTCGACTCTACTCTAGGTACTCCACTCCAGTAGATAACTATGGTAACTATGGTAACTAGGAGTTTCCGCCACATTGCATATGTGTTATGTATTATGTGTTATGTATCTACCGTACCCACTCACACACCCGTCCATTCACCTTGAGCCATCCCGAGGGGGGCGAGGCGGCGAGGGCGACGGTGAGGGCGAGGGCAAAGGAGTGAAGGGAGGTTTTTGCATAGAGATACCGTGAATAGATAGTTGCACGGCGTACATACCAGGTAGTAGGTAGCTATTACTCCCGCGCCAGGGGGCGGCGCGGGGATGGGAGGGGAGGGGACAATGTACCGACTTCTAATTGTACCGACGTGTAATTGTAATGAAATCACGAATGTACCGACTGTACTCTACCGCGTTGCCTTGCCGCGGGAGTCCAGGAGTCCGGGAGTCCACTCTAGGAGTCAGGGAGGGAGATGTGGAGTCAGCGATCAGATGTGGAGTTTCACTTCGGACGGGCGGACGGACGGACGGACGGACAAACAACGGTGCGGTACGGTACGGGTGATACAGGTGATACGGTAACATACGGAGGATACGATATGGTACGGTAGTCTACGCAACGGTACGGCACTGGCACTGGGCTGGCACTGGCACTGGCACTGGGCTGGCACTGGCACTGGCACTGGGCTGGCACTGGCACTGGCACTGGCACTGCATTGTGCTGACTTGACTTGACTTGACTTGACTTGACTTGACGGGCATTGTGCAATTTCACGATTGATACTCACACCAACCAACCTATCTTGAGTGAGCCAACCTGTTATGATACCTTGAGCTGAACCAACCAAACCCCGTTGGCAGCTGCCAGACAGACTTGTTGCAACTTGCAAATCGTTGCAATCGTTGCAATCGTATGTAGAGTAGCAACAATCGCAGTTGTTGGAAAGGGCAGGAATGGAACAGGCCAGACACTCACTCACTTACACTCACTGACACTCACCTACACTCACACACGCTCACACACATCAAAGTATGCACACAAACTGTTGAAAGAAAGAAAGAAAGAAAGAAAAGAAAAGAAAAGAAAAGAAAAGAAAAGAAAAGAAAGAAAGCAAGAGATCAAACAGCCGTCACATGTTACAACAGCCGTCACAACAGCCTCACAATCACAATGACAATCAATCACAATGACAATCGCAAATCGCAAATCGCAAATCGTAAAATCGCAAATGTGTCCGTTGGATGGATAGATGGACGGTGGGTGAGAGCTAAGGTACCAGCCGGTGCATGCAGTGCAGTGTGCAGTCGGTTTTTTTTTCTTCGCTTCCCCTCACACATACTCCAGACTCCAGAGTCTGAAGAAGAAGAAGGGTCCACACTCAAAACGGTTCTAGAAAGTGAAAAAAGTAAAAAAGTAAGAAAAAAGTAAGCAAGTTGCTCGCGCGATCGATGGGGAGAAATCTCAAAGCAGAGTTCGTCACAGTTTTGCAAACAGATGGAAAAAGATGTGTGTGTGTGTGTGTGTGGAATAATCATATTTCCCTTTCTTTGCTATCCTAAACCTCTCCCTGCGCCCGCCCCCCCTCCCCCCCCACTACCCCGTATCCTCCTCCACCAATTGCCTTCATCCCGCCGAGTCCATCTGTTTCCAAAATGCAGTGGGTTCTCCTCGCCCCCCTTCCCCCCAGATAATACACAATAATAGGTTGTAGTACAAGTAATGACAATGAAGAAAACGTAGAAACCAAAGTAACACCCGCTAGAATTGGAAGCAAGGAAAAGAAAGAAGAAAAAAAACAAACTCCAAAGTAAAAGATGCCCCCAAACCAATCCGAGACCGTGCCATATGCAGACAAGACATAAGAAAATCGTAGACAAAGGAAAATCGTGGTCGTCAGTGATACCCATGGACAAATGAAAGTCAAAAATACAGTCGCTACCCCCCAAAACTCCTCGCTGAAGAATAAGACAAATGGAAGAAGACGGAAAAGAAAGAACAAAAAGAAATAGAAGAAAAGGAACAAATGAGAAGATCCTGTTTACTCCTCGCCAGAGACGAGAGTTTCCATGCTGGCGCTCATCTCCATCTCCTTCTTGGCGCGAGACTTGTATCCACCCTGCTTTCCCTTGACTCCACGGCTGATACCTCCCTGTGCCTGAGGTCCTTGCCTCTGTCCGGAGGCCCTCTTGGCTCCTCCCTTGCTGCGCTCCCTGCTTCCTGCGTGCGCCCTCCGCTTGGAGGCCACGCGTACCGGGCGACTGTTGTTCTTGACGGCGATCTCGCTCTCGCTGGGCAGATCCTCAAACTCCTCGAGGATGGGGTGGGCGATGCCGGCCTCCTCGAGCTCTCCAGCCCACTTCTCGAGATCCCGCTGCATGGCCAGCTGTCGCTCCATGGGTGGCGACACACTGTAAGCGCGAGGAGGAGTGGTGGTGTCACGCTTGAAGCGCGAGACACGGTCGTCCTCGGCGATGAGAGGCTGCAGCGCGGCCAGGGTGTTGCGCTGGAGCATGGAAAGGTACTCGTCGGTGACGTCGACCGAGCGCCTGTACTTGCCGATGCCCTCCATGGGTCCCAGAGGTGGGAGAGGGTAGAGCAGCTGGTGGCTCGAGGGAGCCGCCTCGTTGCTGGCGCGGCGCGAAGCCTTCTTGGGCGCCGGGGTAGCGGTCATCAGGTTGTCGTAGTTGATGGGCTGGCGGGTGATTGATGTGTGGCGGCGGAACTCGGGACGAGGCGAGGTCGAGTACGAGGTCGAAGGTCGCGATCGGGTGGGCGAGCTGGTGCTCGACGCAGTGGTAGTGGAGGAGGAGGACGACAGACTCGGAGTCATGGGCTGCGAGGTAGGAATGTCGGTGATGAGCGCGGGAGCGTATCGAGGAGTCGAGATGATCGACTTCTTGGAGTTGCTCTCGAGGCAGAGCTCGGCGGCGGCGGCGGCGATCGACTTGTCCCACTTGTTCTGGGAGACGCGCTCGCGCTGTTCCCTCGAGAGGAAAGCGTTGAATACCGAATCAAGGAACTTCATGTTGGATGTTGGTTGGGGTTGTGTGTGGTTGAGGTGGTAGTGGTGGTTAAAGTTGGAGTGGCGGTGGTAGTTGAGGTGGGAGAGGCGGTGTTGTTATAGTTGAGTGTGGATGTTCAAGGTAAGGATGTTGTGGACCGGGTGGGTGGGATGGGGGTCAAGTGTATTCGTTCGGTCGAGTGAGAAGATATTTGAATTCGCTGGGACGATTCTGTGGAAGCTTCTGGTGTCTATGAGGCATTCGAAGCTTAAAGTGTGTGTTGGGTGATTTTTGAATGCAGCTGTTGCTCCACGGGGCGATGTTGTTTGTAAGGCCAATGTGCGCTGAGCTTACCACGGTTCGAGGTGGTGATGATGTAGTAGTGGTGATAGTAGGTTGTAGTAGTGAGTTGTTGTTGAAGTTGAAGCTGAATGGGTAAGATCTTTTTGGAGGGAGCGGGTGTGGTGTTATATCTGGATGGGAGGTGAGGCAGTCGACTGGGGGGGGATTAGGCGTTGAGGGGTTGCAGTTAGGCGTAGCGTGGGAATGGTACTGCCGTGCGGGTGAGTGGGAGTTGGGAGTCTGTGTGGGAGTCTGTGTGTGTTGTTGTTGTTGGTGTTACGCCGACTAGAGTCCGGGCCATGGGGGGGGTGGGTTAGGGGTAAGGGTATTGGGGGTAAAGGGTAATGGGGGGATGGATATGGGGGGTGGGAGGGTTGGGTCCTGGTCCCCCCGCGCTGTTACGTCGAAATGGGTGTTTTCGGGGGGAAAAAGCAAAGGGCCTAGGAAGCGCGAGAGGGAATCTCCGGAATAGTTGGTCTGTGACTAGTAGCGCCCTACTATTCCAGACGAATGCGGGTGTGGGTGAGTGGGCGAGGATAGCGGTGCCGGTGTGGGTGCGGTGGATGGATGGATGGTGTGTGGATGCGGAGAGGCCATAACCACTACGGACGTCGGGGAGAAGAGGGTCTGGCTGGCTGGCTGGCTGGCTGGCCGCTGTAGGTACTTCCTCCAGAGTACCTACGTGAGCAATTGTGTGAGTCCTCAGGCAGGGCAGGGCAGGCAGGCAGACAGGAAGGAGGGCCCGCAGGCGGGCAGTGACGAAGAAACGCCCGCGAACCGAACAGATGGAGATAGATAGATACTCCGCAAGAACCCCCGATTGATTGTCGCGTGTGGAGAATAGAATACGAGATACACTACGCAGTTACCGACAGCAGCACGCAAAGTGGCTGAAGCAAAGTGTTTCGCAGTAGAGCACATACGAGATATCTCCAAGTAGATATGTACTCAAACTATGTATGTGGTGTACAACTGGACGACGCGGCCGACAGTCAATCACGGTCGCTCGTCGCAGATGGGCCAGTAGAGAGCCGCCGCGGATACCAACGTGCAAGAGCCGGATTCACGATCGCGATGCTAACGTCCGATTGATACGATGCCGAAATGACAGTTGTCTGTCTGTCTGTCTGTCGGTCTGTCGGTCTGTCGGTCTGTCGGTCTGTCGGTCTGTCTGAAGCCCACCTCTGGCCACAGGCCGCCATCATCATCATCGTCGTCGTATGGCTGGCTGTACATACATGGAATATTCCACCCGCAAATGATGTCTACTCACCGACTCACTCACTCATCCACTGACGATACTGCACCCATCGTCCAGCTACTCCAGAGTGGGGGGAGCCGCTATTATTGCAACACACCGCCACCGAGCGGCGCGCGGGCGGGCATAACCACCTACCTGACAACCTACAGCTCCTGGCACGGCCGTATGAGGTATGTATCAGTTATTCGCTGCTACCGTAGTCGGTCAACTACTGCTGTCTTCGCTGTCAAAGATTTGAAGCTGAACCGCTCTGCCGCAAAGGTGTAAAAATAAATAAAAAAAGAATGGGCGGGTTTTCGCCAAAGGCTGAGGATTTGGGGTGGAGCATCCGAAGCCCGTGGGAAATGGCCGAATCGGGAATTTCGATGCACTGCAAGGTCGGGGGAAAACAATAATAATGGCTGGCAGCTGGCTGCAGCGAACGGCGGTGGTGGTGCTGGTGGTGGTGCCAACTACTGCGTGCGCCGCATATCTATCGCGCGGTCAGTCAAGCCTCGAGAAGGATGTGTGTACGTGCATGCGTGCGTGCGCCGTGCGTGCCTAAGGGCCTCCACAAAAATCCTGAAGGGAAAGAAAAAAGCCGAGTATGGGCAGGAAGATGCGAAGTATGCAGCTATGATACACTCACTTAGCGAGGAGCAGAATGATGATGATCATGGTAATTCTGCCCGAGTACATGCTGATACCCAGACCGTAGCTGCATATTTCGGCGGGCAGCAAACAAACTTGCGCTCTCGGCGGGGCTTCATTCGGACCACCGCCCCGTGGGCATTGGGCGGCCCTGAGGAATCACAAGCATCTCGGCGTAAATACGCTGGAGTATGTACCCTCCCTACCCACGGACGAGGAATCACAGGCATCTCGGCGAAACTACTCTACCCACCCTAACCACAGACGAGGAATGACAAACATTTCGGCTCAACTACACATCTACCCTAGGTACCCACGACGAGGCGAGCGAGAGAAGGAACGAAATTCGGAAGGCACCGGCCAGATGGAAGGGCACCCGGCGGAAGGGGAAGCTAGAGTATAGCAGCCGCTTTCCCCCTCCCCCGGAAGAAGAAGGGGAGACCATACCCTAGAGCAAGTCGGTAAGGTACTTCGAAGTTCGGTATGATGGGAATCTGGGAGCATGTACCGTACTAGCACTCTACCATACTAGTCATCGTCGTCGTCGTCGTCGTCGGTCCTCGTCGTCGCGGGGGCCGAATTCGTTTGGAATTCGTGCGAATCCATTCGCATTCATTTTATCCATATCGATCCTTCATTTCATTTCTCTCGGGCTCCTACCCCCCCCCTCCCGCTCGTCCTTGGGTAAGTACCCAAACTACCTTAGTTACTCTACCGGACCGGACCGCGGGTATGACATGGGGGCCTTTCACTCGAAACATACCAAAGCTCCAAGCCAGATGCATACATAGACCTGGAGACCGGAGTAGGGTATGGCACTTGTTTATCCAGAAAGCCAGTTAGCCAGCCAGAGTTACTCGTATGTACACAGCTGGCCGGGTACGGGGATAGTCAACTGGATAGCTACCTCCCTACTCCACAGCCAGGTAGATTACGTGGTTACCGTGACCGCCGTACCGAATCAAGGGATGGGGAATAATTAGTGCTGTGTCCGTGGCCTTCCAATAACCATCGATGTACCGGTACATACCCAGATGAGGGAGGGAAGTCCTCGATCAGCAGGCTGATTGACGGCCCGGTACAACCGTCGGGTTGGTTCTGAAGGTTCGCGCTGGTGGGAAAGCTGAGATGAGCTCCGCCGAAAGTTAACCTCAAGGCGAGGGCGAGAGGTTAGTTTCGTGAATCGAATACGACTCACGAGCTCGAGGGGTTACGAAAACCAGGCAGAAGCCGATCAATCATCATACGGTATGGTACAGCCCCCCCCCCGCCCGCAATGTTTGACTCAACCTTCAATCGATAGGCTGCGAGAGAATGCGAGTGGTCGTGTGTGTATGGTACATGGCCAAACAGAGGAGGCTTCCTCGAAGCCCGCCGCCCGCTGTGAGCCAACGAACGCCCTGCTCTACCTCGATTGGCCCGCCGACCCCCGGCCTATCGAGAGGCAGAAAACTCCCACGCTTGCCCCACACTTTCAACTGAGCTGAGCTGAACTGATGATGGCGAGGATGTCGGGCAGAGCAGAGTTTCCAACACAACAGGCATGCAGCCCACAACCCACAACCCATAGCCATAACCAGTTGGTCACAAACCAAAGGCTGGGGGCGGAATCGGGAGGGAGGGAGGGAGAATCCAACATCAACCGAATCGGAATCCGGTAGATCGAACAGCCACTTGCTATGCTAGCCATCCAATTTGATGGGACCGCCTGTTCTCGAGCCTCTTCTCTCCTCCAGCTCCTCCACGCCCACCCACCCACCTGCCACCCCCCCGCTCCATCTCTCTCTCTCTCTCTCTCTCCCTCCACTCGGCTGTGGCCGTGGGAGGAGGAATGGGGCTTTCGAACCGGACCGTGGCGTTCTCCAGCCCCAGCCCAAATAGTAAGCCGGAGCTGCCCAAAGCTCTTTCTGCCTGCCCTTTTGCCCCCTTTCAACCACCAATCCCGACAGCAGCTTCGGCCTCCCCCCCCACCGCCACCCCAGCACCCCAGCAGCACCAGCACCAACAGCGTTCGCTTCCGAGCTCGAGGTTGGTTATCCGGTTCCCAACTTCCCAAACTTCCCATGCTTCACGTCAAGGAAGGAAACCGGTATCTATCCATTTACCACCTCACTCTGACGACACCGTGTTTATCCTGTCGGCGGGGGGACGCGGACAGAGCGCGCGCTGGAGAGGTTTACCGATGCACTGCATCGACATCATAGGGCTGCGGGAAGGCCGAGTTTCAATGGTCAGTCAGCAACACATGGAATGTCGACGCGATCTGCGGCCTCGCTCATGCTCATGTACGAGGTTCGTATTTACTAGGTAGTCCCGGGTTTGTGACGGGAATTGTCCTTTCGCTTCCCGTCAAACATGTGTAGATACTCTACGGTTACATGTGCTCGGGTTGTCTGTGAAAGTCGTGACTCGTCCACTCGAGCACATGAAAGAGAACACAGTCAGTCAGTGATTCCTCACCGCCGCCGGGTGTCGGCGCCCACACTGAAGAAGTGAAGCTCAACCCCCACCCCCCGGCGAACCAAACCAAATCGCAGTTATCCACTGAATCCCCGGGATGTAACCAGAGTAGTACTAGGTATGGTTACCAGCTGGCACGGTACGCAGCCATGCCCAAAGTATCGACGCCACATCCCCCACCCCCAAATTGCAGGCACCAAAACAAACCGCCACAGAGGTGGAGGAGGAGGAGGAAGAAAGGGAACCGGCAGTTTGGGTTCCTTCCCTCCTCCACCTCTGCTTTTTGCTTTTTGTTTGACACCAACACCGCGGGGACGGTACGGTACCTACGGTTCCGCTGATTGAAACACCCCTCCTCCCAGGTCCTGCCATTCTAGGCCAGTGGGGGAGGGGCGTGGGTACTTACCTAAGGCGCTCGAGTCCCAAGTCTCCGCATCTCGATGATAATCGTCCTCGAAACGACGGCAAGAAGCCGAGTAACGAGTTCTATCCTATCCTGTCCAAGACTTCTTATCCAGCTTCCCGACTCCCGAGGGCAGGCTGGACGATAGGCATGTATATAGCACGGGAGTAGTATAGGTAGTACTTATCAGTCAATATGCACCCGTTGGTCGAGTATCTACATCTACATCTACGTTTATCTACAAAGGTACCATACTCGTCGATACACGATAGAGTACATACGGACCTGTGTATTCACGTACAGAGACACAGCCTCGAGCTGAGCTCACAGTACATGATACATACATGAACGAGAAAACGCACTTTACTGTGCGCTCCTGCAATCTGCAATCTGGCTGACAAGTGTATATCTACGGTAACCTTCACACATTCTTCCCTTCAAAGGAAATTAAGCGGCCGGCTGCACTGCGCGCAACTGCAACTGCAGAAGATCGTGCCGCTTACTCTACTCTACGATCTCCCCGATCTCAATTGGTAGTTAAAGTATTGACAACGACGCTGCATAGAGTGGATTGAGATGGAGTACCTGTAGATACAGAGCTCTAGAACGGCGCGGTATGAGGTAGGTACTCTATTACTTTTACCGGCCGCCTCCTCACGTCTTCGTTGTCGCTGTCGACGCGTCACCCCGCCGCCGCGCTGACTGTTTCTTTGTTTTCTTTGTTTCTTCCCGCAGTGTCCTCCTCCTCCCGTGCTCCCGTCCTTCCGTCGTCGACGGGAGGAATTACCGTTAGTTCATTACCAAACAACTTCCCTTCCCTCTCCCACGGTCCCAGTCGTGCGGAAATTGCTTCCATCCCGAGCAAGCAAACTTCACCACCCCCAACTTCGACCATCCAGGTGGAGTAGACCCCACGCTACGCTGCCGCCCCGCCGGTAACCAACTTCCAAGTAGGCATGTAAGAAAGAAAGAGAAAGCAGAGAAACAAGAAAAGCGGTCAGAGCGAAAACAATCAGCCTGATTCCATGGAAGTTTCGAAACACCTCCCACACTCCCCTCCCTCCCACCTCCCTCCCTTGCTTCCCCCCCGCGCCGCGCCCGAGCAGCCACCGTCAAAATCGGGCTTTTTGCCGACTACCGACGAGGTCCCGACTAGCTACCATAGCTACCGACCACGGCTCGTTCGAAGCGAGACCCGAGATTTTGGGAACACGTTTTCTGCTCTGCTGGGGGGGGGGGGGGGGGGGGGGGGGAGGTGGGGAGGGAGAAGCCTGAGGGAGAGGGACGGCAAGTAATTCTACCTGTGTAACTCATATCATAGTACGAAGTGGTATGTGGCGGGAGAAACAATCTACCAAATCGCACGAGCCACACACGGGAATACTGGTAGATTATGTAGATACATAGCCACAGAAAGCCACACCGCCACAGAGGACGATAGTAGAGGGAAGCGATACGGCGCTCGAAAGAAAAACAACGTGAAACTCATCGGCATCGGCACCATCGAACTGAATACTCTATATAGCAGCACAGTATTGCCGCACGCATACTCGGCCATTGGCGAGTATGCGATGAAGGCAGAAAATCTCGGTGTCTGTGTCTGCGGGGGATGCGGTGCGGTGCGGGACGGGGAAGGAATCAACTCGCACTGGATAACTTCCTATCTAGCTGCTGAGACGCGGACGGGAGGGAGGGAGGGAGGGATCGATGTTGCCGAATCGAATCGAATCGAATCGGATACCTGGTGAGACGCGACTTATGAATCGACGTATCATTTACTGGCTTGCTAGTGGTCGAGGACGCGACTGGCAATAACAACAACAATACCAACAGGAACAACAATACCAACACCAACACCAACAGCAACGGCAACGGCAAAACCAACAGCGACACCAACACCAATAGCAACGACAATCACAAGAACCAGCAGCGATAGCAACTCCCGAGCCTTCCCGCGTTGCTGTGTAGCGGGTGCGCCAGTGGCTGCGGCGAGGGCTGTTGGTTGTCGGCAGTTGTCGCAAAGTTGACTGTTCGACCCGTTCGTGAAGGTGGTGGTGGTGGTGATCCGACGGCGGATAACTGTGCTAGTATGTGTTTAAGCGACCACTGCCGGCATCACGCAGGAGAAGCATCCATTGAACATTCATCGTGGCTGGGAATTGATACTCAGTTATGCTTACGCCTCCCCTTCACAGCAGCCGCACGCGGCACGCATACATTCCGTATGTAGCGGTGGCGGTGATGTGTACTTTGGTACATACATGATGCATTCGCTCCGCATGTCGGATGCACATCCCTCAAGATCCCCAAGCCCGCATGCCCGCACGCACGCGGCCGGGCTTATCCTCCTAACTACCCCACAAAACGCCAGCGAACTCTGATAAGCAGCCCCCTTCCCCCGAGAAGGAGGCTGCAGCCGCTTGGCTCGCCCGCTTGCCTGCTTGATGCCCATGTGGGGCTGGGCCGAACGGACTGGACGGACTGGAACTGGACGGGATGTGCTGTCAACTTCATCGCGTTGAAGATCCGCCTACTAGTGTGTAGCCTCGCGATCATCCCAACGCCTAAAGAACCCCGTCCCATCCGACCGCACAACTGCACAGGCGTACAAAGGTACTCTACCCGACTGGAGGACTCAACGAGGAAACGCGTAGTCACGTATCTATGTTACTATGTTGGGTACGCGCGGAGGGCAACCGTCGCGCCGAGGGACAATCGTAGCGCGGGCGGACAATCCTCACGCTGGCGGCCGAGGGCGGACAAGCGGGCCCGGGCTGGATTTCACTTGACGTTGACTAAGCCTTGCCGGCCTCCGGAGACGGACGAGGGAAAGGGAGCTAGCCTGAGTATAACGAATAACAAGCGTGAAATCACGCAATCGCGAGATGCCAACCAAAGACTAAGGAAACAAAAAAAATATACGTCGACAGCTTCGAAAACATCATGAAGAGAATAGCTTCTTCTCCTACTTCTTCTCCTACTTCTTCCTCTTCTTCCCCTCACCTCAACCTCATCGTCACCTCCCTAGCCCCCGAGTAACCGCCCGTGTTCGGTAAGTTTTCACCCCTCCACTGGTGCGTGTTGTAACTGAAATGAAAGTAATAGTCTACCCCGCATCGCTGCTCGGCTCTCGACCTTCCTACCCCGCCTGATTTACGGAAAGAGAAAAGAAGAAGGAAAAAATAGTCTTCAATCGAGATGGCAACGTTAGTCTTCTCCTCCCGCCGTTGCCTTTTCGTCGGTGATGAAAACAAAAACCAAAAAACAACCCAGGCCGTCCTGAGCTTGCGCAACCCCGTCTAAACGATGTCATAGAAACATTACCTGGCACGAAGGCCTTACGCGCGCTGAGCGCAACACCTTCAATGGCCAGCAAGGGCTGACGCTATGGCTGACTGGCCTGTCGGCCTCGGGCAAGTCTACCGTTGCCACAGCGCTGGAGCAACACCTCCTCCACAACGGAGTCACCGCCTACCGCCTTGACGGTATGTACTCAGCTTTCCCTGCCTGCAATTGAATGCAACTAACCCAAACCTTCTTCCACCCACAAGGCGACAACGTTCGTTTCGGCCTGAACAAGGACTTGGGCTTCTCCGAGGCGGACCGCAACGAGAACATCCGACGAATCGCAGAGGTGTCCAAGCTGTTCGCCGACGCCTCGACCGTCGCAATCACCTCCTTCATCTCGCCCTACATCGCCGACCGCGCATCCGCCCGCGCCTTACACGAGAGCGCCAACCCTCCCATCCCCTTCATCGAGGTTCACATCGACATCCCGATCGAGGTGGCCGAACAGCGCGACCCCAAGGGCCTGTACAAGAAGGCGCGCCAGGGCATCATCAAGGACTTCACTGGCATCTCGGCCCCGTACGAGGCTCCCGAGAACCCCGAGATCAAGATCCGCACCGATCAGGTTAGCGTCGAGGACGCCGTCAAGATCATTGTCGACTACCTCGAGGAGAAAGGCCTGGTAAAATTGGCCAAGAAGGCTGAGGCATAGACGTTCCGTCCGTGTTGGTGGTGCTGAGTGTGTTGATTTGTTTTGTTTTTTTGTTGTCACACGTGTGTGTGTGTGGGGGGGGGGGGGGGGGGGGGGGAAGGCGTCAATACCTACTATAGATACCGAAACGAAGCAGCCTCGTTGTTACAACTACATACCCACCGGTATCCATATCCGCAATGATCGTGTGTTTTGTCCAACTGATTGGCGACGGGGACCGGTTGGTTTCCTGTTTCATAACGGGTTTAGTTGGATGGGGAGAGAGAAAACAAATACACGAGAGTGACCGCCGGCGACGACGGGCGGGAAAATATCTGCCGCTGGCGAGGGGGACGGGGGGGGGGGGAATTGGTGTATCGTAACAGCAAATCTCCCTGATCCAACCCCGCGGGATGGATTCTCCCACTTGGAGGAGATATGTATGCTCCATACATAGAGTACAGCTCTACTATAGATCTACCTGCAGGAACGCGGGCTGTCCCGCGTATCTAATCCCCACTTGATCCATCCTCCTCCCTCCTCCTCCTCCTCATAGGTACATAGAGTACCCACGCGAAAGCTCAAACAACCTACAGGGGGTGGTTATGTACCTACGGCACTCGGTCTCGCGAATCCTGTCGTCGGCCATGTGCGCGCGCGGGAGGAAATCCGCGGAGGAACATGAAGATGAAGAAGAAGAAGACGTGGGACGTGGGGACGTGGAACGTGGAACGTGGGGTGGTCGTGGTGGGGGATGGGGTGGGGGGTGGGGGGGTATAAGTTACCTACAACAGCATAATTTTTCCGTGGGGTGAAAAGTAACTATCCCAGTACCGATGTTAAACGGTACCCCACGGGCAGAGCCCAAGCCACAGTATCGATAGGGGACTTGAAAGTTAACGATCGGCGTGGTGGGCGGCGTCGGCGGCGTTAGGCGGGAATTCACAAGCCATGATTCGTTGTCGGCGAGGAGCGAAGAGCCCGAAGCGAGGAGAAGTGGAAGTGGAAGATGTGAAACGGCGGGGCGCGGCGCGACGCGACGCGCGGGGCCGAGAGAAGGGGAAGGGAGGGGAGGGGAGGGGGCTCGCCGAGCTGACTGGCTGACTGGTCCGGGGTGCATAGAATTATTGGCCAAGACTCGGCCAAGAATCGGCGAATCGCTGGAGTTGAATGGGATGGGAGATGGGAGATGTGCCGCCGACCTCAGCAGCGAGCGTGAGGAAAGCTATTACGGGTTATGCTATTTACCCCCTCTCGAGTCTCGGGCGGGTAGAGGGGATGAGTGAGGAGTCGCTACATACCGTGTGTTACCTATATCTACTCGTAGTATGATGAGTTTTGGGGGGTTGATTTGCGGGGTTACATTATGTATGGTTTGTATGCTTTTGTTTACTTGACTTTCTTTTGCAACATTCCGAAGTATGTAACTGAAGTTATGCGAACCTCGACTCTATGAGGTGTGTACTCGACAGAAAAAAGTAAAAACAAAGCGACGGGCGTCAAATACTGGTAGATAGTGTGAGGAAGATCATCACACTCGCTCGCTCGCGCCCATCATCTATCTAGAGCAGATAGAGTATCTACGGTAGTCTACCATCTCAGCGCAGCTGCTCAGCGCTTCCTCCATCGGATCGTTTGGATCTTGCCCCGAATGATTCCGGTTGGCCAGCGGACACCTCGGCCGGGCTGGAACGGTTGGGGATGTTTTGTGGCCCACCCCCGCCCCCGCTGGAGATGAGGGAGAAACTAAAACCAAAACCACAAACATTCAGTTAGATATCTAACCCTGGCTTGGCCCGTGTTATTCGCTCGCTCGCTTGGTTGCTTGGTTGCTTGCTTCTTCCTCCATCTCGGAACGACATGAGACAATGAGACATCTTGCAGCAGCGGGCGCAAATTTGGGGTCGCGCCCATATACCAGTGGGTAGTTGGTACAAACAGCAAACATACCACTTTCCCCTCATCCTGCTTTTATCACCCCGGATCTACCTGGTATCTGTGTGTACATGAGGTATGTATGTACCAGGATTCCCCAGAGTTTATGTGCGTTGCATGCAGCTAGTATCTAGAGGAGAGTAAATGAGCTCGCCCCCGAAGGTCGAATGCGGGGAAACTGGAAAGCAGGGCCTGGAACAGCGGAACGGTGGAACGAACGAAGGTGAGGCGACTGCATGCGCCGTCACTCGGCTCGCTGCTCGCGGCTTCGGGAGGCTTGGATGGGGTGAGAGCGGGTCCGGAGCAGCTACTTATCGCGGGTATTGGGGAGGGGAGGGCAGGGGAGGGATGATGGGACGTCGCGGGAGGATCCGGACGAAGACGTGCGTGCTTTACTCTAGAGCGTGCAGAGTACTGCTGCGGTGAGATGCGGGGCGCGGCGGGATGCTGATGGCGGAAGTTCGAACCCGAATTTCTTTGCAGTAGAATATGTACCAACCATACCGTAGCTAGACGAGGAGACCAACCAACGGGCAACGAATAGGTACTTGGGCAGATGACGGCCAACGACCAACGGCCAACGACCAACGGCCAACGACCAACGACCAACGACCAACGGAGCTCTTTTTCTTTTCTTTTCTTTCTTTCCCTATCGGTGACGGACGCGGATGGACGGACGACGAACGGTGACTTTTCTCCATCGTATTCGCTTTCTTTTTTCTTTTCGTTCTTTTTTCTTGAATTATTTCTCGCGACTGGTTGGCGGGGAAGTACTTCATACTTCATACTAGAGTAGAAATAGTAATAAGTACTAAGTGTAGTCACAGTGAGGTCCAACGGACGTTTGCTATTTGGCTGCTGCTCCAGATAGTTGCTCTACATACTCTACCCTGCTGCCCTGCAGCAAGTGCAAGGTCTCGCCCACCGAGTATAGCCATGGCCACGGCCAGTCGCGATAACCGTCGAGTCATCTGCATGCTCTGCCGCCTCGCGTTGATAGGTAGGCAACAGCCAGAGCCAGACCACCTCCGCCCCTCCGCGAAATTGCAATCCGGACCGGGCGGAGGGGAGCAGCTATCATACATATCATACATACATACCGGAATGACTATAGTGGAGTAGAGCACTCGTACACTACTCCACTCCACTCTACTCTGGGTAGAGGAGGTTATCTACACACATACGGGGGAGTCGGAGAAACCGGGGAAGTCGGGGAACGAGTTCCCACTGGCTGGGTGGGATTAAGTACTCCCTACACGTTCGTTCCGCCCGCGGCGAAACCGTTTTATTATTTGTGATACAGAGTGGGTCTATATATCCGAGACGAAAAAAGCGACAGGTTACGGACGGACGGACGGGCACATGGGACAAGAATAATAATATCTACCTGAGTTGTCGGTGGGGAAATTAGTTATGTACGCCGTACGGACCTACGGTCGCTCGTCGGCCCTCGGTGCCGCCGCACATGTGCCGCGCAATAACTATCGGGCATGCAAGAGAAGGCGCTCCGAATTGTTCCATGCATGTCCTCCCCTCCCCCAGGTTCCAACCCCCTTCTTCGTCAACCCGGCCCAGCATCCCACCTTCCACCCATCCATCCATCCATCCATCCATCCATCTAGCCCTTCCCTTCCCTCCCTACCCCGCCTCGGTAATCTCACTCCTCACATTACCCACCTACTTACCTATGGCATATGCGACCCACATGAAAGAAAGCAAAAAACGAGCCTGTGGTGATTTATGTTTCGACCGATGACGCAGTCCTGTTTACCGCCGAGAATGTCGCGACCGCACGTGCGACGTCATCGTCTTTTTTCCTTTCGTACTTTCTTTCCTTCTTTTCGTCAGCAGCGGTTACAAAACACCGTGGGAAGACAAAAACAGTTATGTATTCATCACCCAGAAAAGCAACCCATCACATGGGAGATTTTATTGCATATCCCCTAGGTACGGTATCTGCTTCGCCCTTTGCTTCGCTTTATGCTTGCGCGCGTGCTGAAGGGTCGGCGATACATGAGGAAGTGAGGGGGATATTTACTACCTACTTCGCGGTGAGCATAAAGTTGCAAAGCTGGCAAAAGCAATTCTCCCCCTCGTGATATGTGCCTGTACGTATACCCTCCCACCACGTTGCTCATCAATGCAAGCGGGCAATGCAAAAGACTCATCTGTGATGATAGGTGAATAGTGTTTGTGACTGTTGATTCGGTCCAGCCTCGTTGTCTGCCCCAACGCCGCTGTCAGGACGATGGCGGAAACGAAGCGTGCCCTTCGTCGCCATCGTCTTTCACCGCACATCATATCAGCTCGGAAACAGGGGCAAGTCCATCGGTCCCTGCATATACTGCTCGCAATGGTGTCTCGCGGATCGTGAGACTCTCCAGCACAGCATCACGCGCCGTCACTCGCGCACAGAGATCGTTGCTCGCGTGCGCGCACGCTGGTTCTCTTACCTACACATCTCTCTTGGTCGCCATGGCCTAGTAAGACCATATGCGACGACAAAACTGACGTTCTCTCCCTTACCTATCTTGTGCGTGCGGCCGCATAGAGAAAGCAAAACTCCATCCACATGCATAATTCGAGATCTAGCCCCCACAGCTCTCCCACCTCGAACTTCCGTTCTATTTTCCTATCGTTGCGCGTGTACCGAAAGGACGTCGCTCTCGTTGTCGAGGTGGTGGTGGTGGTGGTCATCATACGTGGCATAGGTACTACACCTCCACACCCACACATCCTGAGGCTCTGCGACTGGCAGCGATCTAGAATCGGTAATCATGAAGGCTGAGTGTGCTCACTCACACTCGCGTCGTTATGCGGAGTATCCCACCACCACCACCAGCAACACCCCATCTTTACCACCACCACCAGTGCCGTCTAGCCGCCACCGTTGCAAACGGGCGGCGAGACGCTGGGGTGGGGGGTGCACGGCGGCTTCCTAACCTGCCCTTCCTATGTATTCCATTCTATGTCAGCTCAGCGTATTGAAAGCTCGCGATCACCATGCCCTTTCAATCTTCGAGCTACACGGAGTAGGTATCCCTTTTCTTCTCTGTCGCGAACGTGGCAGGCGCGAGGGGGTACGTAGGGCCGGGCGATGGCTTTCGGAAACGGGCCGCTTCGGTTTTTCCTCTGCTTTAATTTATTTTACACAGGAAATAATA